TGTATCAATCTGATATATCAACATGATACAAAATGTATCATATGATGCTTTGCATCAGCGGACCAAAAAGGAAAGCAACGGAAGCAATTACTTATTGTAATCATTAGAGTCCGAGAACTGATACCGAGTACCCGATACTTTTGCATACCTGATACAAAGTATCAAGTTGATACAGTATCACCCAACCCTAGCATGAAGTAATGACCAGCCTTAAGACTTCCAGAGGCAAATTCCTCCCCCCCCCCAGGTGCACCAAATCTATCATGAAGTCTTGCCCTCAAAACAAAAACTTATCCGGTAGATCGATTTTTTTTTTTCATGTTGTATTTAAGTACTTAATTTGAGCATTATTTATTAAAAAATGGAAGCTAGAGAAATACTGATTTATACAGAGACATGACATAATATTTATAATTGTAATAGCCAAGAATTTTGTGGAAATAAAAATGATTTAAACTGATAACATCAGCTTAAAGCATTCTTTCATTACTGTTACCTTGACATAAAAAGGATACATGTTTCAATAATTAAACAGAATTTAAAATTGTATTAAAACCTTTTTTCTTCACGTCAAATAAAAGCACTCAAGAGTACTTTTCCAAGCTGAACTCTGTAATACTATACCTTCTTCCCACCTGCTTTAAATAAATGCAGCTTGTAACGATCCCATTGGACGATTGCAGCGCCACCTCTCTTGCTGAGTATATTCGCCATGATATTCATTAGTTGGACGATGGACATTTCCCTGTCTGGGATTGAGTTATTCCCCCCCGTTTGTAACATTAATTATAACTATTTTTATTTACTGTAAATATTAATTTTGTGTAATGTGAAGTGTCTTTTGTGTAGTGACTGTTTATTTGTTAATAAAAAAAATAGTTTAAAAGTAACTTTGTTTTTCCCCAAATTAATTTTGTCTTTGTTTATTTATTTTCTTTTAGAGCTAGCCGAAATTTTAAAATAGTTGCTACAAGCTCTGATTTTTAAAGATTAATCCGTAATGACCTTCCAGAGGTGACCCAGCTTGCTTTTTACCAATAATAAATTCTCTATCAAATAATAATTTGTATCAGATTGATCATTTATCTCGTCAAAATAAAGAAATCTTAAAACCAAAAGCAAGTGCAATTGCAAGAGAAATAAGAGCCTATGTTCTGAAACAGATGAAACACAGGGTGGCCATCATTTTTGCTGTTCGAGTTTCCCTGACTTTTCCAGGTTTTATAAAAAAAACTTCCCCGACTTTTTTCGGAGGTAGCCTGTCAACCACAGAAAAAAAAAAAAAAAAAAATCACCTGCATATTCGCCATACTAAGTTTTCATTCAAACCCTACTTGTTTGAATGAAAAAGAAAAATATTTGAAAAAAAAAAAAGAACATTTATTTAAAACTTTTAAACAATAAACCGTAAAGTAACTATTGTATCTTTACAATGAAAATTCCACTGTACAGAATTTTCCCGGCGTTTCCAATTAAAAATATAAAATAAGATGTTAATAAAAATATACGTTGCAAATTAAAACATTGAAAGACAAAAAAATGCAAGACAATCTTTTTCTGATGTTCACAAATTAAAACACAGAAGCATAATATTCTGTCACGCGAACCAAAAGAGAAAAGAAACTTTTTATTCCAACCAACTGCCTGCAAAAGAAGTTATACATTAAAACATTGGAATTTACATGTTTATGAATAATGTAAAAATAAAATGGACAAATAAAATTCGCGAAAATGGGCAAAACACACCCGAATTTACCACTTAATTTAAAATAAAAATCCAATTCAAATTTTTTAAAAAAATTATGATGTCAGCTCCCCTCTTGTGCTAATCCATTACTTAGACAAATTTGGTCCCGTAAGTATTCCTAGTAAGTACCCCTTGCATTAAAAAAAAACTTGATCATGCATACATAATACTCAAAAGAAATTGCTCTTATATTTATAGGTAAAGGCAGTCCAGATACTTTGAAGATCCCATAAATTAGCAAAATGATCCTTATTCATGTTTCCCAACACTCCCAGTCGAGAAAAAAAAAAAAAAAAAGCATACACAAAATAAACGAAAAAAGAAAATGTCCAGTACTTCATAATTCAAGAAAAAGATCTCAAGAAGTGGAAAAATAAACTAATTCGGGTATAACTCCTATTTGATATTAAATCATCATAAAAGCAGGCAGTGTGGATGCTAACTTGTAGACAGATAAAGAGAAATTTACGATCTCATAAGGTTATCTGAATCTCTTTGGCACATAGCCAAATTCCGGTTCTTCCACATCCGAGTGCGATCATACTATAAATTTTTATCTCAAAAAGTATAATCTAATTTAACTAATAAAAGGAACACAATTCTGTTAACAGACAAAATTTCGGTCCCTTGAAAATTTAAAAGTAAACACCTCGCCGCCCAGCGTGTGCGGAGAAACGCGAATGACATCCGTTCTAGACTGTCAGTTAAACGACCGATTTTTAATGGTTGCCAACGGTGTTTCATACTACTTATACAAAAAAGATCAGCAAATTGTTGAGTCCGATAAGAACTATCAAAATAAAAAATTTCCAGTTTTAGAATAAATTTCCCCGACTTTTCCAGGTCTTCCGAAATTCCCTGACCATTCACAGCTTTCCAGGTTTCCTGTGCGGATGGCCACCCTGGAATCACTACAATATTGGAATGAATAATGAGCACTAGTTTCAAATAAAAATTGTTTCATAAGTATTTCGTTTTTCAATGTTAGAAAAATTATTAAAAATTAGAGAAATGCAGGTTTTTGATTTTCATTTCTCTTTTTAATATTTTTTTTGTCACTTGTGCTCTTTTTATTTTAATCTTTTTATTCTGAGATATTTTCATTTAAATTTCTTTCGAGTTTCTCACATTTCCTACATATTCTGCTTTTCATAACATTTTTTAATTTTATTTTGCTGTGTATAGATATATATATCCATGAAAAAACAATGTAAATATAGAGAAAAAAAATCATACCAATAAATAATTTCAAAAGTAACGATATTGCAAGATTTGCTATGATATAAAAAGAATACATCGAACTCACATGTTCTGAAATCGTCAATCAAAACTTCCGGACGATGGTTGAATTGGAAAAATTTTCAGCATAATTTTTTTTTGTATTTAATATTGTTTATGGTTTTTTAAATTAATAAGAGCTTTGCAGTTACATTTTAAGCATACTGTATACCAAGTATTTTTTTCCCTTGCAAGTAGCAATTTAAAATCACTCAATAGATATAAATGCATTATTCCAACCTTTATTACTTGAAATAACGTTATCAGGGAATACATACAGATTTGTAAATAATAATCTACCCAAATTAATGTAAACAGTCTGGAAAAAATATAATGACTACCTCTGCCCCCAAATCTAAATTTTAATCAGGTGAAATATAGAAGTTGGTTCACACTCTTAAAACCTTGCCAAAGCAAGACCTTGACTGCAAGCAATACATATATTAGCTTTGGTGACTTTGTGTGCCAACTTCTAGATATCAACCTTTTAATCCCTATATAATAATTTTTATAATTATTTAAACAGCAATTTTTAATTAGTTTTCTGAATTTTTATGTATTTGATTTTTAAATGATATAATTATTAATTTAAATTGATTTACTACACTTAAAATTGTAATATTTAAAACTGCTTTTAATTCTTCTAATTCAATAGTTTTATATTTATTAAAAACTAATTTTAAAAAAAACAAAATATATCAGAAATACAGAGCAAACTTTAATGGTTCAATCTAATTGTTCCAAGGAGTTCATCTTAAAAGAATGAGGGGAAAATATTTCATAAAGAAAAGATATCTTTTAGAATAGAAAGGGGACGAGACGCCAAAATAGAATTAAAAAACATTTCTGTTTACCATTAAACATTTACAAAACATTTTAATTACCATATGCCTTTTATTTTGTTACTCTGAAAGACTCATTAAAAAGTTATGGCTTTTTACAAGCAAAACAAATATCTATCATCATGACCAGGGTTGCGGTGATTTAAATCAACTGATTTTTTTTAAAAAAATCACTGATTTAAATCACTTTATTTTAAATATCAAGTTAATCTGCTTTCATGAAATAAAATTTGTTCTGTATCTTTAAATAGTGATTTTAAAATATTTTTTAAATGAATTTAAAGAAAGAATATATAGAACATAAAAAATATTTCATGAATTGATGTAACTAGAGTACTTTCCATATCTTTATTTTTTGAGAAGCATAAAATTAGATTTAACCCTCTGCAGCAAGGCAATAATTTTTTGAAATATGATGAGAAAACATCATGAATGGTATTAGTTTATTGTCTAGACATAGAATCTACAAAAAATGTTTTTTAAAAAACTTGTTCATTCCAGGAGGGGGGACCCTAAAGGGTCACCTCCTCATGAGAACCCCCTCAGATACAGCCACCTTCATACACTCGAAAATTATTGTTGGATCTTACAGAAAATTATAAATTAAAACTTCAAGAATATTGGGGCAAAATTTTCGAGTTAATTTGCTGAAATTTTTAAACGTCCAGAACTAAAAAATTTCTTATCTCCGAGTCAAGGAAATTTCCCAAACTTTATCTCTAATAATTCCTATTCTGAAACAAAATTTCATAAGACTGCCATATACATTCTA